ACACACACACACACACACACACACACACAGACACACAGACACAAACACACACTTCAATACTCGAATGATGACTCAGAGCAAAAACACTGAGATGTGTAGTAGTTACGTTTGCTGAATTTTCATGTCTTTGTGATCAAATAGATTATTATGGATTACAGATGTTTAAAGGCACAAAATAGATTTTTGTTGATGCAATATTAGACAGATTTGATGTTCAGTTAGCTAGTCTGTAATATATCTAATCTTAACATTAACATTCATCTTACTTTAGCACTCCACAAATTGAATAGAGATTGTTTCTTTATTTCAGGCTATTATAGGTTAGGTTATATTTGTTCCTATGCAGGTATTCCTGATTACAGATGTTTAAGGACTCAAACCGACTTAAAGGTCCAGTGTGTAAGATTTAGGTGAAATGGATCTATTGGTAGAAATTTTATGTAGAATAATCTTTCTAGTGAATAATGATGTTTTCACAAGTTTGTTTCATCTAAATTGTATGAATTGTAGTTTTCTTTACCCCAGAAAAGGCCCTTTATATTCAAATACTTTATATTTACATGGAGGGGACCCTCTCTACGGAGGCCGCCATGTTTTTTACATTAGTCCAGACTGAACAAACTAAACACCTTTTGAGTTTTTATGACAACTGAAGCTGCCACAGGTTCTTTTTCATGTTTGGAAGGAGAGGGTGAGGTGAGGGGTGTTCAGCAGCAACATGCAACTTCAACACTAGATATCACTAAATTCTACACACTGTACCTTTAACTCAGACATGCCACCATTTCAGCACAGATTCCAGATGTTTCTGGAACATTTTTAAAACCCTCAGAGATTTCACACAGATTACAGATCTTCCAAAATACAAAATTAATTGTTTATGTTTCGCAGTCCTGAATGCAACCTGTTGCTCTGCGGTATGCCTTATTCTTGCATCACAGTGCTGTCACTTCCTCAGAGCATCATCAAACCCTCGCTATAAATTCTTCTTACGTCCCAGTCTTTGGAAACAGGGAACATTAAATGCTTGGGGCATACACAGACACATACAGCCATCAATAATGCAGTCTGAGACACAGGTGCACACCCGTGCATGTGCACCCATGCAATGACATCCTCATCGTGTTTGAACAGGCAGACAGGAAGTGAGGAACCCACTGAGGGATTATAGACAGCCCGTTAACGGCAAGCTGAGCCGTGACGGCTAACCAGCTCCTGCCTGTTTGATGGACAGAAGACACGTCAGAACTTCCTGAAGCATGCTGCTGCATCTGTGGCCTGCTGGGATTGCGCGCTATTGGTGGATTCTAAATTCTCCACACGTTGCATTCGAGGCACAGTAAATATGAGCTGCTCGGGGAGAAAGTGTCCATGTCATCCTCCCCGAGGAAGATCGAGTTTGACGTTTCAGCTAGAACTTTGGCTTCAGGAATGTGTGAAGAAAGTGTTGTATAGATTCTAGTACAAATACTAGATTCATTTATTTTCAAAGGAAATAATCTCATCTTACTTTTTATTTCTTACTTGAGGTCATCTGAGCAGAATCCATATACATTTACAGTCGATTAAAATGCTACATCAGACCTCTACGCTTACGTGGAAGTAATGAAAAACCCTCCAGGCGATCAGAATGGAATAGACATGGCATAGCAATTATTATCCTGTGTGAGACTGCTCCAATGAATCCCCCTCTCTGACAGTACGCTCTTTCTGGGATCATTCCTTGCAGGAGCGATTTTGAGTCTATATGTTTTGCAGGTCCTGAAGATTCTAAAAGCGGTGTCATTGTTTTTGGAGGTCGAAAGCTCTGGACAAAGATGTTTTGGATGTGAGTGTGTGAAGTCAAAGACTCACCATCGTTGCACAGCAGATCTCTGGGACAGAGCCTCTTCTCAAACAAGCAACCTGCAGCAAAAAACAGAAAGTCCAGACTGAAAAACAGAGAATTTTCTGAGCAACTGCTAAAATTAAGGGAGTTAAAATGAACCATTTGGAATGCAGCATAAATTAGCTGATAATTTTCTCCTAAATACATTTAAATTTTTCCTTTGAAAGATTAAGAGGTACAGATAACAGAATACAGATAAAATAATGTTAGTGGGTGTGGACCATATAGACTTTATATAAAGATGGACCACATGCAAAGCCAAATCATCTTGATCGCCACCTGATGGCCGGCTGCAGTACAGGTCATAAATCCCACATCCTCCATGTTAGCGGAGAGGACATGGACCACACAAAAACTCAACAAAATTTACTCAAAGATGGTTTCTGTCATTTCAAGTATCCACGTTTCTGATAAGTTTGCTTTTAATTAGTTATTTGAAGTCATTATTAACAGCTGAGACTGGCTCTTGATTGGTTGAGCAGGCGTATCATTACTCGATCGCTACCGTGCAAACTCTGGCTCCAGATGTGCAAGAGGGCGGTTTGGCGATGGTTTTAAATTCTCCTCTGCCATAAAACATCTACTTAATGAAACTTAAAAACTCTATAAAATCCATACAAATTCAGTTTATCACAATAAATTATGGAAGCCCCACAAGAACGCATAGCTGTGCTTGATGACAATCTTGTGTTGCTGTCTCTGAATGGGAAAGTGTGTGTGTGTGTGTGTGTGTGTGTGTGTGTGTGTGTGTGTGTGTGTGTGTGTGTGTGTGTGTGTGTGTTACCATTGACCTTTTCCCAGCTCCTAATCTGTTGCGAGGCAGTAAAAAGCGGCAGAGCCGCTTGCTCCCAGTTCTTGTGTATTTACACCTGTTTACTTAAGGTTTTCATTAAGGATTTGTATAACCCTGTGTATTATTCACATGTCCTGCGATAATATAAGAATATATACTCTGTCCTGCAGTATGTACGACATAATAAAACACAATGTGCTTCCTCCTGCAGTGACTTCACTTATGGTATTTGTGCGACTGTATCCACTCTCTTCTCTCTGATGTAGATTTTCAAACTATAACTCTGCCACATGTCAGTCAGAAGAACAACTCAGCTACAGACAGATAAGACAAGAAGATTTTTGTTGTCCAAAAGTAAAAGTTTGAGTAGATGGGATTCTCTTCTCATCTCCAGCCCTGATTGACTGATGCTTTTTTTCCTTCTACCTGAAAGCTATAAAAAGACAGAAGGAGTATCGACTATGTGATGACACAAACAAACTGCCTGTGCAGCAGCTATCAGAGAGGGGAATCTCCATTAAACCAGAAAGCCGAGACGCGGCTAAACATAGAATGGAAAGATTCTCCATGCATCCGTCCATTGCCCCCCTCCGCCCAAACTCCACATGATGACTAATCTCTGCTCTGTCTTCTCTCCTGCGCCCACGCATCCCTCGATCCATCCCTCCCTCCCTCCCCTCCGTCTTATCTCTCCGTCCCCATCCTCGCTTCTCTCTCTCTCTGACCGTCTGCTTCTCTGAGATCTCGATCAGCTCGTCATGCAGCCTGTCCATCACTGTCATCGGTCACACCCCACTCCATCACCTCATCTAATGCACAACATTACCGACTCATTTGTATGTAATTGGGTCTCTAATCAGCAATGCCAAATTGATAAAGCACTGCGAAGAAAACACTCATCCTGAGGAGTCAGTTCAGTCTCATATGAAAAGGTATAATGTGTCATATGATGATGATGATAGATTCATCGTGGCAGGAGTTGGGTAAAAGCGTAGACGTTTGTTATTCATGACAAAAAGGACTATTGCATTGTTTTCTTTTTTTGCACATATGAACACCATATAAGGAGAGTTCCCCAATTTTTGGGTTTGTTCACAAATAATCCTTTTTCATTTACACTTCCATTCGCAAAATCAGGTGATTGTTTTGGTCGTCATTAAAACGATGTGATCTTTAAATCGCTCTCTGTTTTCATTCCTGTTTTTGTGTGAAAGATTAAAAAGAGGAAAACCACTGGGTTATAAAACAATATATTAGCAATAGCAATATCACAAAAGTCCGATGAGGAGAAGTTTGAAACCACAATCTTCACGCAAAAATCACAAAAGAAATACTAATGCGACACTTATCGTGATAGTTATTGATATCAACTATTAAAACATTTTAATCTCTATATATAGCTTTGGCCATTTCACCCAGCCCAAGTGCATCCAGATAAAAAGTTAATTATAAAACTATAAAAAGGTGCTGCATCACTTTTAAATGTTTTGGTAGTTCAATTTGCAAACATGACTTGGTTTATCAAAAAAAAAAAAGAAGGGAGAATTGTGCTGTTTAGTTGGATTTCAACCCAAGGTGCCATAGAAACAGACGTAGTAACAAACATTCTCTCCTGTTTCTCTGGGGAAAATGAACTTCTCTCCCCCTCCTCACAAACACAACTTCATTCTCCAGATAAAACCAATTAGTGCGAGTAGGCACTGTGGAAAGTCGCTGTCTGGCTCGTTACATCCTCCTTTACATGCTTACATCCCAGCACCATCAGCTCCATTTTGTTTTCTGAGATGTGGTTGTGTTGAGTGGCGTCTATAATTACAAAGTCGGGTTTCTGTTTCATCTTAAATTAGATCAGTCCGTAGCACATCACTAGTCACAAATCTGTTCTTTTCTCTTTCAAATGAAAACACACAGGTAACCATGGAGAATTGTGCACAGCTGCCCACGCCGCTCAGGAGCTGCATTTGTGTGAATGACCTATAAAGGTGTATTATTGTGATTCCTGCATTTATCTTATTTTACTTCTACCCAGGATATTGTTCTGTATCAAGGCTGCAAAAAGTTGAAAATCAGCAGCAGGAAATCAAAAAGACATGACTCATAACTTCAGATTCTCTCCTCAGATTCTTCTAAACCACATTTTAAAACTTTTGTACTCCTTTAACTGTTTATGACCACTTACTAATATCCTGGAGCTTTTAAAATCACGTCATGGTTTAATTACATCACATGATGCCATCTTGTTCTCTCCTCATCGACCTCCACTGAACATCACTCGCTGACCTCTGACAGGTTTATATCCTAATGCGGCTAAGGTGTGAAATTCGGAACATGCAGGGACACCAGAGCCGACTCCAGTTACTGAAAGAATACGAGACAGCGAGGTGCAGCTGAAAGGTGAGATTTCTAAATAAACGTCCGCGCTTCAAATTGAGTTTTTCGCACAGAATAATTCATTTGTTTTCTTGTCAAGGCAAGAAGATGAGCAAAGGTGCTGCATTTAGGCTGTTATAAATAATCCTGTCTCCCGGAAATTGCATTAGGGATTTGTGTGGAAATAGGAAACAAAAGCATGACTGATGGTTTTGATTCTGCCGAGGCAACTCAACACACAAGAGGAAAAGATGGTGTTCTTGGATCAATCTGAATGAATAGTGACTTCCAAAAGATTGCACAACTAAGCAATTAAAGTTTGGACAAAATATCAGTTTCACTGGCGGTTTCGTTTTTTTCCAGACTCATGATACACTCAGAAGCCGAACTCCAGCCCGCCATCATTACCATCAGGGTCTGCGTGCTTTGCTTTTATCTTCCATTTACTGCCTGTCAGACTGAATTCAGAGTCGTTCTCATAATGGTGCTTCTGGCATTTGCGGCCACTGCTGCTGTGAGTGTGAGCTTGCCCTCTGGTCCGCAGCCTGCCAGAGGATGTTTAAGGTGGAGTGAGTCAGTCTGGATGGAACAGAACAAAACCTGCGACTTTTTTAGCTCTGTGACGACGCTAATAATCCCTGCGGCGACAAAAACAGCAATGAATGTCTCCTACAACAAAGTGCAGCATGTGTATCGCAGCTTAATGGCTCTTATGCCTGTGTGCCATTGTCAAACACACAGCAGTGAGTCACACTATTGCACTGGGTGGCAGGTACCCTCATTACCATAAATGCACACACTGTGATTAATTGTATTTATTCTATTCATGACTCACCTCCCTAATTCTCCCTAGAAAGAATGGAAATATGTATTTGTGCGGTGTTTTTTAAAGGTTTGACGCTTGATGGAAGGATGCAGTATGCTTTGGGGGAAGAGCTTTGGTGCAGCTCCAAATCAGAGGGCGGATCAGCGAATATTTAACATTGTAAAATAGAATAATTTCATTCTCACTGATTTCTCAGCGGAAGCTCATGGATCTTGTTAAAAAAGGGGAACCAATTTGAAATTTGGTGACGCTTGATTGAATTTAAAGAGACTGTTGGGCCTTGGAAAATGTATGCACACTACTGAGTAATATTTTACTATTCCTCCCATTGATAAATTCCTTGCTTTTATTCACTTTTAACTGTTTACAAGACTATAATTATACAGTTGCGGCATAAGTGAGGCTGTAATGGTCCATAAACTATAATCTTTGAGCTATTTCACCATCACTACTATCACTAACATTGATGTTTCTTCTACAAAAAGCTTTAAACCCATGTGGAAATATCAAAGCATGACACTATAAATACCATAAACCTCCATCTCCATGTAGAGGAATTAAAAAAACATTATTCTGAGCTGGCTATGAGAAAATGAAATTGGTAGGGTTCCCTAAGGGACGTAATAATAAATAATGAAGCCATATTATTCTGCTGCAGGTGGGACGAGGACCATTTGCTATTCTCTGCTCTTTCGCTCTCCGCGGTGCTGAAATATTCTATCCGCTCGCTGTCCGTGGTGCTGAAACACTGCACCGTGTTAAGTACATCAAGGAAGCAGGAGGCCGTTGTAATTGCTGCGAGCAGTCGGGGCTGGGAGGTCAGAAATGAGTCTTGACTGTGGGCATGATGTCCTGTAATGTTGCTTTAATATTCACATCCAATAGATTGTCGATGGAGGATTTGAAATGTAAACGCTGGACGGGTTTTTAATGAGGCTTTTGGTTTTAATTTGGTGGCTCTCTACAGTTTCACGGCCAACGTTATTATCATCTGCTTCAATTTGGAGTTTAGAGCGCCATAGTTTCCATTCCAAAACGCAGCTGGTTGCTAAGATTTCTTAGCGATCTTAAAAGTCGATTGCTGACTTAATGACTTGATAATGCTCAATAATACCCCTATAATCTCTTTCTCTGTGGTGCATTGGAGTAATATTGAGTTTTCCACAGCTATAATACTGAGCAGGCAAAGGCACAAGGCATCAGGAGGGCACAAAATCAGAGTCTGAATAAATTCCTTCTGCTGAGGAAAATTAAAATAGATCTTGTCATGATATCGTTGTGTCAAATATGATATACCCTATACTACAGACATACAGTTATGCTTTGAGAGAGTATGACTTGTACTCCTGGTTTACACTCTGGGAAGGAGTGTATGTCTGGAAGTTAAAATGAATTTAAAAGACCTGAGGGTAATTCAATTTCCCAATTATCTCTATACAGTAATATTCTTATTGGAATACAGCGTTTTAACAGTGAACTTGTAAGCTACAAAATCTTTATACTGAGCTTCACGGTGCACTATTCTACATTCACATCGCCCGAAATCAAGGAAGTGTCCTTGTTTACGATGATGTTGCTGTGAAATCTGAGCACATTTCTCCACCAGGCCACCGTGGGTGATGCTATATTGTACGGTAAGCACTTGAAGGTTAATAAAGATGATGGCTTTTGGATACTGGCTTCATGCAGAAACTGATAGAGACTGAGCCAAAGCAAACAAAACCATCCAACCATCCCTCCCTTTTCTCCTCCGTTTGTTGCACACCCAACAACAACATGATTCATTCAGGCAGATACAGAAACATCCCTCTGTAAACAGTTATAAAGCAGCTGCACATATAAGATGGAGGACGGCAGGTTAGACTGCTCTTATACTGATGCATATAGATCAACCAATCTTAATTATCAATTTTTCTGAGATGGTACAACAAAAAGAACAACAACAGGTTTATTATCTAAATATTATAGAAAATGATAAATATCATGCAGGGTTATTTAGTGAAAGAGGCATAAAGAAAAACTGTTATTTCGTTGAAATCCTTGGTAAATGATATAAACTGTGCCATAAAGTGCCATAAACTCGCAGCCAAGTCTGAAAGAACGCAGCAACAGGGAGCCTTCATCAGGGAAGTCGTGATTTATACGCGCCACCTCCCCGCGTCTGGTTCACCGAGTTGGTTTGAAAAAAGACAAGTGAGTCCGTCTCCATGAGTGTGGGATCTGATGGGAAGTCTCACCGTGTCGGGCGGCCGCGCACAGCCGGCAGGAGGCGGTGAGGAGGAGGCACAGAGCCGCCCAGAGCCGCGGAGACCTCATGATACATCCAGCATCCACCGGAGCGAGGAAGAGGTGGAGGAGGAGGAGGAGGAGGAGGAGGAGGGGAGCGCCGCCTCCACTGCGAGTGCTGCCGCTGCTCCTGCACTTTCAGCAGTTCTCCATCTCCAACGAGAGGCGTCTTCTTCTGCTGCTTCTGCTGCTGCTGCGGAGGATGCACAGCACTGATGGAGTGTGCA